AACAGCTGCCGAAATACGTACATAAGCAAAATAAATAAAACTGTTGTACGACAAGGCAAGCTGAAGCAAAAAACAAGGCAAAAAATTCAGAAAGCGGCAAGTCTAAAGTTAAGCACATGATGAACCGCAAGATTCTGAAGACGACTGCCCGAGTTCCTATGCTTCAGCCTGAGGATCAGACTGATCAGCGTTGAGCCCCATGGTGGCCTCAGCCCCAGCAGCAGAAGAAGCGGGCTTTGCACTCTGCCGAGCCTCCCTTTCCCTCTGTTCAGCTTCCAACTCCATTCTCTCAGCTTCCTCTTCGGCTTCCTCAGCCTTAAGGATTTCAGCTTCGGCTGGAGTTGCATACTTCATGTGAGGGTCTTCGGGATTCTGGACCCACTCAGCACATTTAGACCAATCCAGCTTCGGCTCAGCATGAAAGCAGACTCTTCGGCATACTCGGAATCCGTTTCTGAAACCCATCTCATATTCCTCTTGGGTATAGACACGGACTTTGAGTAAAGCCTCAGCATCAGCCAGCTTCTTCTGGGTCTCCTCCAAGTCTTCCTTGGATTTCTTAAGCTCATCAGCGACCTTGGAGGAGGAACCTTTCAGCTCATTCAGCTCTTGCTGAATTTGGAAAGCCTTTGTCTGAGCTTGGGCCACTTCAACTTTCTGGATCATCAGTTGATCCTCAGCCTCTTGGAATTTAGCTCTTTGGGCTTCAGCAGCAACAGCAGCCTCTGAGAGTTGGACATCTTTGGCCAGGAGCAGCTCTTCAGCAGCCATTCGGCTGGCTTCAAGAGCCTCTAGACGTTGCTGCACTTCAGCTTGTGCAGCAGTTCCTTCCCGAATTCGGCTCTCAACAGCAGCCTTGAATTTGGAGACGTCCACTCCCATATGCTCCTGGAGGAATTTTTCCCCTTCCATCAGTGGGGGAAAAACCTCCTTCTCCATAGCATCGCAGAAGGTTTTGAGGGCTTCAGCAGCTCTTTTCTCATACTCCTCAACCTCCTGCTGCTTCTCTTCAGCTGCTGCTTGCTTCAGCTTAGCAAGCTTTACTTCCTCTTCAGCCACCTTCTTGTCGTGCACAGCAGCGTCTACCCTATCTTGTAGGGTATCTATCAGCTCTACAGTGAGAGTCTGATTGTGCACGAACTGAAAACAGGAAGACAAAAATAAATAAATAAATAAAAAAATATATATAAAGAGTTGAATTTCAGAGGAAATGAAGACAAGGAAAATTACCTGCATCATCAGCAGTTGGTTAGACCTGGCTGGGTCAGGAACTGATCTGCTGGATTTGCCCATCCCAGCAGTGGCCTTCAGCGACCAGATCCTTGCCCTGTCTACTTCGGACATGCCAGCAAAATTGCCGAAGTAGGCTGCAGCTCCTTCTCGGTTCTGACCCCATATGAGGTCCCAGATGTGGTCTGGGATTGGAATTCGGGGGGCCGAGAAACCCATTTCTCCAGAATGCAGAGTCTGGAAAGAAGGGAAGGATGACGATGGAGCTTGATTAGCTTTGGTTGTCTCAGCATCATCCTTCTCAGAGGAGTCAATTACTATGACCTCCTCTTCTTCAGGGGTGAGGACGAAAGCCTCAACCTCTCTTGCGATGTCTGCCGTGAAGCCCTCAGCACTGGACATCACGGCATCCTTATTTTCGTGCTCAGCAGCACTCTTCTTGATTTCTTCTTGGACCCCTCCCTTAGGTTCGGGAGTTCTCTGATCCACCTCCATCTCAGGAGGTGGCGGAGGGGTCTTTTGAGGTGATTGGGGTGGTGGCTGGGGAACCCTCGGCGATCCGTTGCCTTCCTCGGGTTCCCTTATTGCGACGCCGATGGTCATCGGCCTCCGCTGAAAGTCATGAGGGCCGATGATGGCCATCCTTCGGCGCCTTTTCAGAAGGGGCTGCTCGTCCATATCTGAGTCTGAAGACTCTTGTATTTGGTCTTCGGGACGAACAGGAGCTTTGCCTTCTCTGTGTCTGTTACTCTCTTCAGACTGTAACAGACAGGGGGGAGGAAGAATGTGAGTAAAAAAAAAAAAAAAAAAAAAAAAAAAAGATGAAGAAAAAGTTAAGTCTGAAAGCTCACCGAGGTCTTCAGCAAAGCCTCGTCTTCTTCAGCTGCTCTAGCTGCAGCTTCGGCTTCAGCAGCTCTGGAGGACCCTTCTCCTCCTTCGCAAGCTTCGAGTACCCGTGCAACCTCTTCAGCTGTGCGGGCAGCTTCAGCTTCTTCGTCCAGCAGCTGAAACCAAGGGTCTCTCTTCTTCCACCAAGGCTTCTGCCTCTGATACAGAGCAACAGCCTCAATTTGGAAGTGGGAAGAGTCTAGATGAACTTCCCTATGCCTCGGCTCAGTGATAGACGGGGCTCGTTCAGTTACAACCGTTCTCGGTTGACACCAAGACGAGCGTAGTTAATGCCAACGTTGGTCTCGTCCCGCTCTGAAAAAAGGAAAGGGGAAAGGTTAGCTCAGATAGATCGGCAAAGCATAAAAAAGCAAAGCGAGAGAAGAAAAAGAGGTAGTTAAAAAGCCTCGGCCCCAGCCGAAGAAGCTTACCATCCTTAAACTTTCGGCTGAGGCCAACAGCTGCTAGCATGTTCTCTTGGAAAACGTAATGCGTATCGGGGAGCCAAGTCTCCGGGATATGCTGCATTCGGCCACTGCCCCCCCGGTTCGGCAGCTTGCCGAAGATATGTTGCTGATCCAGGTTCGGATCCGCCCCGTTATCTGCGGGGGGACCTAGACTTCCCATTTCGGGATCAGGCTCAGCGAGGTACCGGGGAGCGCTGAAGACGCAAGGGTGGCCCGGATCTGTGGGTGCCCTAACCCAAATCCATTGACCTCTCCAGTCCTTGTCTGAAGAGTCATTTGGCCACATGGTCAGGTATTGGGGCCGGGACTCAATCCGGTACCACCCAGAACCATGGCTTCCGTGCCCACTTTGAATATTTGGCACTAGCCGATGGAGCTTTTTGAAGCAGTGCAGGTTCGGCACGTACTTGAAGAACTTGCAGACCCATAAGTATGTCATCACCCTTCGGATGCTGGTGGGGGTTAACTGACATAGAGAGATGTTGTAATGGATCAGCAAGTCTCGGACGAATACGTCCAAAGGGAACCTCAGCCCATACTGAAGCTGTCTTGTGTACACCCCCACATACCCCGGGGGTGGACGATGGATTCTATCGGATGCCGAGGGCATTCGGCACCAGTACCCATCAGCTTCAAAAATGACGTAATGCAACTCAACTTGCTCGGCAAATCGATATTGATCGGCATTCTCCACCCACCAGGAGTAGGGGCGGTTTTTTATCATGGCCGAAGCAACTTCGGCATTCTCCCATTCTGAAAACCCAGGGAGGATATCCTAAAGGACAACGGGAACTTCATCATCCCGTCCAGAAGCGCTCGGCTCTTCCGCTCTCTGAGGAGGAGCCGAGGAAAGGGGAGTCGCCCTAATCCCTTCAGCAGGGTCAGACTCCGGCCTTTGACCATTCCAGGTCCCAATCCTGTTCCTAGGATCGGGAATCAGCCTTGCTCTTCTTGGAGCACGGGCTCTACCTCTAACTCCTCTTGCCATTGATTATTTCGAAGAGAAAAGTCGAAAGAAAAGGGGAAGGAGTTCGAATTCGAAGAAAAATAAACTGAAATCAAAGGAATTTACCTTAATCTGAAGCGAAAGTTGCCGATTTACGAGTTCGTAGTGGCAAGTCTCAGTTTCTAAGCTTAGTGCTCGGGGAATTTGCGAAGTTTTGATGCGGGTTCTTGGTTTTTCTCTCAAGAATTCTGGGTTTGTGTTGGTGAATAAGTGAGGAGAAATGACGCGCCTCTGTTTATACCTCCAGGTACGGGATACGAGGAGTCTGCGTTTTAATTTCTCTTAAATACTCCACTAAGTAACCATTAAACACATGATCTTGTGACTAAACTGCCCATTATCCGTCCAACTTCCACAATCATTAACCGTTGTTATCTCATTAACTACGGTTTAAATTCAAATTTTTGGATTAATTAAATCATTTACTTCCCTCCTTTTCTGAATTAAATCAAACCCGACCCGTCATCCTTCCAAATCGGGTTTGGGGGGCAAGTTGTTTGGGTCCAATTTAGTCCAAATTGGGCCTAAGCACTAAATGATCCAATTAAAAGCCCAAGGTCAAGGTTCAACTCTCCAATTGTGCAAAAGTCAAAGGTCAGCCCACAAAGCAAGCCAATTGGGCTAAGGCCCAACCTCTCCGTGTATGATGAGGTATAAAAGCCATCACATTCACGTTCATATAGATTCTGATTCATATGCTCATTGATATATTCTGATATATTCCATAAAAGCCTCAAGCTACAAACTCTCTTGCATAGTGTCTTCTTCTTACACATTGTACTGACTTTAGCATCGGAGGGGCCTTCCTCGGCAACACCCCCGAGGCTAGTTTACGTGTGTTTACTGTGCAGGAAACCTTCGGCCCAACATAACTTGGACCGAATCCAGTCTTCTCCATTTCAGCGGACCTTCGGCAAGGTCCCATTGTTTTCACCCGAAACATCTACAAAGGTACGAGACTTAATCACTTGAGCATTGAGAGGGTCCTGAGCAGACTCCAAGTGAACGTGTCTAATCCCCAACCACTTAATGTCAAGTTCAACACCAGAAAAACACCACGACATCCCCTTAGGTATCCACGTTTCATAGAAGGAGAGAAGCTTCAAGGACATAGGATCATAATCCACCAACGCAAGAATTGGAATGCGCCACTCCCTCTTGAGCAGCCTGTGAAAGTAGCAGTTGCATTCATCTGCAGTGCCCTTGACCAAGAAAAATGAAATCAAAGTCTTTCTTAGGAATATCAGAGCGGGGATACACAACAATGCCATCATTGGTTTCGTAGATACAACCTTCATCAAACTCACCAACAGAATCAGAATCATAATAAGAATCAGAATCGGTAGATATCGAAAGCTCGGCTAAGGCTGAGGCTGACATCCTGAATCTTGAAAAACCTGCTACTGAAAGAAACACAACACTTGTAGTCAGTCCGCGTAGTACGTAGTCTTTTCCAATTATTAACATCCCCGCCCTTTAGCTAGAGCACCTAGGGAAAAGAGGTCAAATTTCATTGTTAATCCTAAAATTAAAGGGTTATGCAATACATTAGCATTAGCAACCAAATTTGATTCAACTATCGAACCGATCATGGAAAAGAGATCTAATTTCATATTCAATTATCTCAAATTTTAGGATATTTGATGGCTCATAATTTTGGTTATATAAGAATTTCGAACCAATAGTTGAGATTTACGAACCCTAAACTTAAAGCACTGATAATTAAATTAATACAAACCCTAGATTGTGAAATTGATATGATGATAACAACAATAAACAACTTACCTTAAACTTTTGGTTATCTAAGAATTTAGAACCAATAATTGAGATTTACGAACCCTAAACTTAAAGCACTGATAATTAAATTAATATAAACCCTAGATTGTGAAATTGATATGATGATAACAACAATAAACAACTTACCTTAGAAGCTGGTTCAATGGGGGATACAAGAATTGGATTCAAGTATTCAACGGAGAACGTCAACTGCTCTACAAGACTACAATGGAGAACGTTGAGTGCGCTTAATTGAAATAACTGAGAGAGGTAGGATTTGAGTGCCACACTTATATATTTCTATTACAATCAACAACTTTATATACGTTTTTTATATATTTCCCCGCTTAATTAATATTATTGGATGTGAATGTAAAATGCTCTAATTATTGATGCTTTTCTGATGAAATCATACATGTAAAATGCACAGTAAGGTCGAGACCAAGGTGTTATTGCGTATGGCAGCCTTGATGTGGGCTTCATGGCGCTGTCGTAATCTATGGATTTTTGATGGCGAAGAACCTGATGTGGTGATGCTAGCAGCGGGGTATTGTAAATTAGTGCAAGATTATGAGGAATATGCCTCAAAGGTTTTTAAACCCTCGGTGCAGCAGGTACAGGGCAGCAGCGTCGTGTGGAAATGCCCACCTATGGGATGTATCAAGGCAAATGTTGATGCCTATGTTCCAAGTGCAGGGTCGGCAGGTCTGGGGGTTGTCTTTAGAGATGACAAGGGCTGCCTTATCATGACAGCTACAAAGAAGGTGGAGCTCTCGAACCCCGAGTGTGTGGAGGCACAAGCTGTGAGATATGCGTTGAGGTTAACACTTCGGTTTGGTTACATTAACTTGTGGGTGGAGTCGGATGCTATAAATGTAATCAACACTATCTCCTCTCATGATGGTGGGCTTTCTCCTATTCATTTAGTCTATGATGATATTAGAGTCGATAGAGCAAGATTTAATGTTTGTTTATTTTCTCATGCTAAGAGGAATTGTAATACCGTAGCTCATCTTATAGCTAGGGATGATACAGGTGGAAATGCGGAGTATATTCGCTTTACCAATTTTCCACAGAGTATTGTAACTTTGTCCGATATGGACTTTTCCTCTTAATATATGCAGCTCTACGTCTCTTTTCAAAAAAAAAACTTGCCATACACACTTTTTTTGTTTTGCTTTTGCCTTTTTAAGTCATCGTGCAAGGCCTTGCACTTGTTTTAGTAAGCTTCTCATGGAAGCCTAGAATTATTTTATGCTTTTGATGTACTTCTATATGGTATAATGCAACATTTTTTAGAACTTCGCTCAAGCTGCTAGACTTTGTTGTGCTTTTAGTATCACAAGTTCCATACTCTTTCAGGGAGGTGATGAAACTGTCAAAGTACCCTGAAAGTTAGCTAATCTTACCTGTGTTGATTTAACATGATTGTGTAAATATAAACTGAAAAACAAAACTTTATTACAATTTACTATGCATCCAGCATCCTGTTTATTTAGATGGCCTCTGTATGTTGAAAGGCTTTGGTTAAACTGAGAAATCTATTGATGGTTTGACGCCCTTCACTTTTATGTCACAGGAAGTATCAAAGCCTGTATAAAAGCTGCTTTGAGTTGTAAAGAAGCAAAATTTGAGCAGTATGAGGCTATGAGCTTTTTAAGGGAGGTCAAGTTTCAGATGAATTGAATCGGCAAATGCAGAATTGTTTTGTTTTGGGAGGATAAAATTTCTGGAACATTAGTGAGTATTCCTGTTTTTAAGTCAGTATTGTAGTTTTGTATGAAACTCCATATGAATTAGGCTAATGAAGCTCTCGTCTAATATTCTACATTTGTCTCAAGCTTCGTCTCAGTACGTCTCTATGAATGCTCTGTTAGCAAACTCGACCTCTGTGTGCAAACATTTTTCGTCTGGCCAATCTTCTGCCACCCAGCTCACAACTGGCCAAATCTGAAGGGCCCGCTATGCCCGCTTCGTTCTCAAGCTCTTCGAAGTTCTCCATTAATCCAGCTGACCTAGGAGATAACCCTCCCAATTCCCCTGCCTCTGTTGAGTCGTTCAATACGACTCCTTCTTCCATCTCCTCTGAGACGATGAACCAAGCTTTGAAGCTTGGCAATCTTGAAATAGACTCTACCCAAGAATCATCTGACTTTGAACAAGAGTTTTACTCTCATGAGCAGCGAAAGAAGCTGTATAAAAGGCGAAAGGGAAGGAGATTTTCTGAAAACAAAGCTAAGAAGAAGAAATAGAGCGAGGAGGTGCAGAAAGATCTCACCAAAGATAGCTGTGTGAGGGATATCTTCTTTAAGGGATACAAAGGCAAGAAGAAATTGGAAAGCTCGGAGGGAGACTCGGACAGCAAGGAAAGTCAGGGGGAGAACAAGAAGTGCAAGTATGGGGTTAGCAAGGAGGATGATCTGTGGGAAAAGTTGGAGGATATGGAGTGTAAACCTACCCTTCATACTAGGATCCAGGTCTTGAGGATTACGGTGCGCGAGGATACCTTCGGCTTGGACGACGAGGTTACCAGCAAGGAGCCTAATCAGACTTCAACCTATGGCGCGGCTGGCCCACAGCCTTGGATGGGAAAATGAGCTGCTTAAGCTGGAATTGTAGGGGTGTGAGTGATCATAGCTCCCCGATTTTCCCCTGTGTGATGATCTTAGCGGCTAGGTTTAACGTAGATTTTATTTTCCTCGGTGAAACCAAATGTACTGTTAACTCACTAACTCCGTTTTTCTGTAGGAAGGGTTTTAAAGGTAGTACAGGATATGACGCAGTAGCTAGTAAAGGTGGTCTTTTTCTTTGCTGGTCGGATAGGGTAGTAGTAGATATTGTAGTTGTTCTCCCTAATGTTATCGTTTGTAATATAATGCTGGTTGATGGTCGTTCCTATTATCTTGCGTGTGTTTATGGTAATCCTGATCAATCACATAGACATGAGGTCTGGATAACTCTTAGCAACTTGAATCCTTGGATCAAAAACTGGGTGGCAGGTCGTCCTTTAAAGGCTGTGACTCATTCATTAATTGGAAGATTGATTTTGGCCTCTCTAATATCATTTCAACTGGAGTAAAATACACCTGGTGTAACAATAGGAAAAAGGAACCAATCTACGAACAATTGGACAGGGCGTATGCAACCAATGGCTGGAAACTTGCCTTTCCAAATGCTAAAACATGGAACCTTCCTATTATGTTCTCTGACCATGCACCAATAATCTTAGAACTTGACGCTGCACGAGCAAGGAGGAAAACACCGTATAAAATGGAAGCGTGGTGTCTAAAGGTTCAAGAAGTGCAGGATATCATTAATGAGTCATGGGCGTTACAACTGAATGGATCCCCCTTATTCATAGCACAAAGGAAAATAAAAAACTGTCTAACAAATGTCAGACAGTGGTGCTTGAAGAACAAGAACATCCATATGGGTGTGAACTGGCAGGAGATGAAGGATTCTTTGGAGAAGTTACAACAGGAGGAAGCTTTAGAAGGGAGCCTAACAGAGGGGTTGGAAATTGAGAAAAACAAAAAAGAGGTGGAAGATTTTGCAGCTTTTAGGTGGTGGTACTGGAGACAAAGAGCCAAATCTAAATGGGATGCTCTAGGAGATAAATCCACTTAATTCTTTTACAAGAGTGTCAAGGATAGATCTTTAAGGGCAGAAATTAGAGCTTTACAAGATGAAAATGCCAATTGGATTTCTGATGAGCAGATGATCAAAGAGAAGTTCCAGTCCCACTTTGAGAATTTATTCAATGGGCCGGACCTCTCGGAAGCCCAATTGAATGAGGCAAGCCTCCTCACTCAAAGTTGGACTGCCATTCTCCCGGCTCTAACCCAGGCCCACAAATACTGGCTTAACAAGCCTTTTTCAGAGGAAGAAATCAAACAGGCTGCTTTTGCGCCTCACCCATTGAAGTCCCCAGGCCCAGATGGAAGCCTTTGTAACTCTCATAAGTCAATCAAGAAGAGGTCATTCAAGGAGTCCCAACACTTCTTCCTATCAGGTAACATGCTACGAGAAACAAACCGCACCTTTATTACCTTAATTCCAAAAGTAAGGCAGCCGAAAGGAGTGCACGAGTTTCTCCCTATAAGCCTTTGTAACTCTCTCTATAATATCATCTCTAAGTGTATGGTGAATAGACTCAAGGCAATTCTACCTGAATTGGTAGGTTAATTCCAAAATGCCTTCATTCCGGGAAGAATTATGTTGGATAATTGCTACATTGCCCATGAAATTCTTACCAAAGTGAAAGGCAGGAAGAAGGGAGGTCGATTTGAGGGAATTCTAAAAATTGATCTTAGCAAGGCCTATGATCGAGTGAATTGGAATTTTATTCAAGTTATTCTGGAAAAGATGGAATTCCCGCCTCAATGGTGCAGATGGATCACGCAATGCATTACAACAGTCTCCTATGCTGCGCTAGTCAATGGGGAAGCTTCTACCTTTTTCTCCCCCAAAGCAGGACTCAGACAAGGGGACCCCCTTTCCCCTTACCTCTTCATCCTGGTCATGGAAGCGCTTTCAAGGAAACTTATCTTCATTCAGAATTCAGGTGAGCTTCAAGGAATCAAACTAGCAAGGAGTATCGAACCAATAAACCACTTGTTTTTCGCAGACGATGCTCTATTTTGCTTCAAATCCACCCCATCGTCTTGCAGACTAATAAAAAATATCCTAGATGAGTTCTGCCTTATTTCAGGGGAGGTGATTAATGAATCAAAATCTGCGATTTTCAAGATTTGTGAGTTAAAAGTTGTAATGAACTAGGCACCTATCTTGGATGTCCTATGGATGTAAATGGTAGAATGAGCAAGAGGTTGGAATTCATCCTATAGAACATTCAGAAGAAAAATCTCTTCCTGGAAGTTCTCTACTCTCTCTCAAGCGGGGAAGTTGATCTTGATAAATGGTGTCCTTGTCGTCCTAGCCCATCACGTGCTTGCCCTATACTGGTGCCCTCAGAACCTGGCTTGGCTTCTAAGATTAATTCCATTATTAATAGATTCTGGTGGCGCTCTTCCAAAGCTAACTCTCATATATGCTGGAGCCTGGAGGAAAAAGGAAGTTCTCTATCTGCACAAACATGAGGGAGGATTAGGGATTAAGGAGGTGGTTGTAATTAACCAAAGTCTTCTTATGAAACAAGGATGGAGGCTATTTGCAAACCCTTCACTGCTTACTAGTAGGGTATTCAGAGCAAAGTATGGAAAGGATCCTATTTCTTTGGGGCTACAGGGACAGAAGTTGACAAAGGGCTCTTGGGCGGCAAAGAGTATCATCACAGCTGTATCTAGTTTTAAAAGTGCGTTTGGGAAAAGAATAAGGAATGGTAGATCTACTCTTATTGAGGGAGATGCGTGGGTACATGGGAAAAGGGTGGCTTTACACAGGTGTGCAGGACCTCCGGAATTATCCAAGGTATCAGACTTGATCACCTCAGACAGGAGGTGGAATGCGGGACTGGTTTGGAAGTCTTTTGATGCACACATTGCAAGGGAGATTCTTTCCATTCACATTCCGGAAGAGGAGCACCCTGATGAGTAGGGATGTTCAAAAATGTCCCGACCCGGGAATTTTTTTAAAAAAGCCTGTTTTTTCGGGTCGGGTTCCCGACCCGGGAAAACTGCCTTCAATCCGGGTCGGGACATGGGGCGGATTTTTTGGAGTATTCTTATCAACAGAGAATCGGTGATGTGCTTGCTTCGGTAAGGTGCGGTGACTTCTCATGGTCAGATCTACAAGATTACAAGTTTCCAATATATTAATGGAGTATACTTGTTAATTAGGGATGAATATGTTTACCCAATTTAATATGAGTTTTAGTGTTTTACAATTCAATTAGTAGTAAATTAATTTTCATTGTGTTTGGATTAGTATACTCAATTATTCATCAATAGATTTGATATTGTTGGGGTTGTATAACTTATTTTTATTCAATTATACTTATAAGAAATTATGGATGAAGATTGTTATTGTCTTTGATATGTTTTTCTACTGGATTATTTTCATTTCATGACTTTTTTATCAAAAAAAAAAAAAAAAGATCCGGGTACCCTATGTCCCGACCCGAATTCGGGTACCCGGGTTCCGGGTACCCGAATTCGGGTCGGGACATGGGACAAATTGACAAGTACCCGAAACTCTGGGTACCCGAAAACCCGGGTACCCGGAATTGAACACCCCTACTGATGAGACAACTTGGATCCTAGACAAGAAAGGAAGCTTTTCTGTTAAATCAGGCTGTTGGTGGCTAATCAGGAAAGAAGGTATTCAAAACTGGAAGCCATTAAAACCAGACTTCTGGAAGATCCTATGGAGGAGCAACCTGCTCTCAAAATGGAAGCTGTTTATTTGGAAGATCTGCCAAAACATAATCCCAACCAGGGATAATTTGAGCAGAAGAGGGATCATCACCACAGAATCATGCCCTTTCTGCAATTCAGGCCAAGAATCTATGAACCACATTTTCAGATTTTGTGAAGTTTCACAGAGAGTATGGAAAGCCTCCTTGCTAGGCATTTCCTCAACTAACCCTTTTTTTTCTCTCATGCAGGGATTGGGTAGCAAACTTTGTAAGCTTCTTCATGCAGGATAAGTCAAGTCATAACCATCAACTTACTTTGTTTGTAGCAACCCTATGGGCAATATGGAATCACATAAATGACATAATTTTTAGGGGCATGAGTATTAATCCATCTCTGATCATGGATTCAATACAGTCACATGCCCAAAGATGGAAACGTGCAACAGAGTTCCAAGACAAGCAGCTTACCTCATCTCCAACTAATTCTATAGGAAAGCACTTGATGGTATATTGGAGAATGGGAAGGCCCTCTAATAAGGCCTTTATCTCCGTATGTGTGGATGCGGCATGGAAAAGGAGAAAGAGAAAAGACACAACACATTGGGAAGCAGCTATAGCTTGGGTCTCAGAGTCCTCAACAAGTCATCTCCAGAATTCTTCCAGGATTTTCGCCATAAACTCGAATCAAGCGGAACTCCTAGCAATATGGAAAGCTCTTAAGGAGACCCCAGAAGAGTATGGTAATGTCATCCTTAAATCGGACTCAGTAGTTGCTATCAAAGCTATTCAAAGCCCCAATACGGCAGCGGAGGAGCTCAAGAGTGTAGCCAAGGATATCATACAACAATCTATGAAGAGGGATTTTGTCTTCAGTATTAAGGTGCAGAGATCGAATGTATCAAAAGCCCATGAACTGGCGACTAGCCGTAGATCTCATGGGTAGTTTATGAGTTATTTTTCACCTCTGTCAAAAAAAAAAGTACTAACCTGTGATTTAATTGAATGTACTGTTGGCACGACTGACTAGATTCTTAAGTTCTGTTAGTACAAAGTCTGAAGGGTGGAACAGAATATGTAGCCTTAAAATCTGTCCTCTTTTATGGGCATGCAGTGTGGATCATATAACTCAGTGTTTGAGTGTTGATCATATAATCTGTCCTCTTTTATGGGGGGTTACCATGGACCGTACTGCCTATATTTAGAGGTTGGGCTTGTGGATTTTAGATAGTTGTATATATTTTACTTTGTTCATCTTCATTTAACTTAGGCAACCTCAATTCCTGTAGCCATGTAGGAGGTTCGTAATCGATTCGAGTTCATACACAAGCTTTTCTTATAAATGAACTTTCTTATAACTATCTTTAAACTTTTGTGTACATCTCAAAATTCATAATAATAATCAATCCTAAATAAATAGTCTAGCATTTTAATCGATAAACCAACTATTTTTTTTTTGACGAAATAAACCAACTAATTTATACTAATAATAGTGTGCAAATCAATAATGGCTATTCAACAATTTTTTGGAGTTCTTATAAATAAGCATGTTCATGAACATAACTTTAAACTCTTGAGACTGGTGACACATGATATTATGACATTTCTTCATTCGCTTATAAAACAGAGATGAAGGCATGAACTAATCACTCGTATAATATGCAAAAGCTGGCATAAAGAGATGTAAAAGAATAACTAGTATTTATAATAAATTACGACAACAATCAATTAACCTGTTCTCTTAAATCTGACACTGTAGTTCAAAATAAAATCATTTAAATATGTGATAATGAAACTCAAAAGCAAAAATAAAAGGGTGTAAAATTACTAAGAAAAATCTAATCACGGGACAATTTAAGGTCTACTTGAAATCTACATCTCATATCATATACGAAGTATATCAATAAGAATCCCTGAAGTTCGTCTAATGTAATTGTTCCACTGTGAGTGTGGGTGGGTAAAAGTAAAAGGGCAAAAATGGTTAGACCTTTCCATCAAGATCTGTAGAATCGGTTCCACTCTTTTGCTGCTTAGGCAACGAAAGACTTCGACGTTCTTTACCACCGGGTTTTGAGGAGGCATTGCCATACCAGATCATCCCTGCTACAGCTATGATCATACCCACGACCACATGTAAATTCAGACCCTCTTTTCCAAAGAAGATGAAGCCAAGAATCAAGACAAGGATTGTCTTCATGTGGCCGAGAACTTGGAAAGATACAGCTGTGAATCTGCCGATGCAGATAAATTGGCTAAGGTTGGTCCCAATAGCAATTGTGCATGAGAGAGTTATAAAGACCTGTGAAGACAAAGGAGAATATCATTAGCCAGAGAAACATATGAAATTATGTGGAGTAATCAAACTAGCAACATGGCTTCTCATCATCTTTATTCGGGGAGACAATTGTGATTGTAAAATAACCAAATTGACAAGCTAGAAACAAATTAGTGGTGGCAAACATTTTGGTCAAACACATCAGATTATGGTCATAATCAGGTGATAAGTCATTTAGTTCAGTTTTGGAACAGTTTGGGTCAAAAGTCAATTACTTTATTATAAATAACAAATCAATATCACGTATATTGTTTTCAAAATTTGGTAATCATGTGCGAGTCAAACTATCAGGTCGTCTAATACTAATGACATTCAAAATTAAAAACTAGGCATGCTTTGGGCTTCAAATTTTCTTCAGTTATTCAAAGACAAGCAAAGTATGCCCAAAAGGGGAGAAGAATCAACTGTATCTCACACTTGAAAGCTGTAGGTTCAAGTCAAACACACCAACAGTGGACACTGCATATAGAAAATCAAGGCACCGAGCAAGTTTCAAACCAAAAAGGGAGCCATGACTGGACTATAAAGGGATTATTATCCTTACCACAGATGGTAAAGTGTAGTTGAACGCATCAATTCTCTTATTTGTCAACCAATAGTCAACGAATGGACCCAGTAAAAGCAGGGATCCAGCCTGTACTGGTGCAGTATGACCAAGCAGATTGAAAGAACTCAGCGAATACTTCTTTTGAAGATGATGTACATACTGCAACATAAGACAACAATAATCAGACAAAGCAAAACAGTTTATAAGCTCACAACCACTATGTTGCAGCAACCAGAAATCGTAAGGGGGGCGCAAAGATTTTAAGCACATTTCAATGGTTATCAAACACCTAGTTCAGCTAGAAGCGTTTCCTCTTATTGTTTTCCTCCTTTAATTGCCTCGAGATGGAAAGTGGGGAGAGGGCCCAATCTTATTTGCAACCAGTTAATATATTCAAAGTTCCAAGTTCCACTTCATTTCTACCAAAAATATGTTGCAAACTTGCAAATATAAAGAATAAGCTGATGCATGAAAAACAAGAAGAGATGAACAAACCATCTAATATTTTCCCTCATTAGAGAACACTCACCTAGCTTATATTTGCGGACTGGCAAAAGATTAGTGTAGACTATCATACATGTCCAAACTCTTTAACAGAAAAATATCTACAATATAGGTTGATTATTGAAACTAGACCTGGTTATTGTGCGGGTTGGATCAGGGTCAGTTGCAGGCGGGTCAAAGATGGTCACATTTTATAGAATCAATTGAGGAGGGTGCTGAATCTTGATGTCATAGCAGATCTGCTGATGAGTAAAGTAGAGGAAGGTGAAAGGATAAAGGCTAAATGTTATTCCAGAGGAAAAGGGCCAAGGAGAGGGGGGGCGCACATCCATAGCTTTCAACAATCCTACTGAAACTCTTAAAACTGTCTCATTTCAGATGGAAAACCTCTTCTCTTTAACTTATGGCAATGAACACATAGTGACTTCAGTTCTTCAAGAGGAATAAAAGGCTAAAACCACTATAACACGATGGTAATTTATTTTTTATTTTTTTGAGCTGAAGTAATTCAATCAAGAAGAAGAAAGCATTCTAAAAGTCATACTCAACTGGCATTGATACACCAAAACAAAAGAAGATATGATGAATCGTATGACAGGACTCACATGAGATCAGCATTGAAACTTATCCTCCATTTTTTCATCATTGAAAATTTGTTAGATAAATAAGAAGAAACACTACATAAAATAGGGGGAAAGAATGGAACAGACAAGGATAGGAAACTGATAAACAAACGACATGCTAGATTCTGATTTAGCAAAATCTTCCAATCATACTCACTTTACTCAGAATTAACAAGTAAAAGCTGAGAACCTAATTTAATTCAGTTATATTTGTAAAATATTTACTCTAGAGATCATTAATATGCTATGTAACTTGGAACTTGAGGTTTGACGCCAAGGATAAGGATCAGAAGGGAAAAAAAGAGAAACATAAAACCAAAGCCTTAGTCCCAATGGAGTGAGCTTCAAGAACTATGAGTTTATCTAGTGGTCATCCACACATATCCTCTTCATCTGTTCTATGTAGTGCTACATGCTCTTACAAACCCACTTTATTTTATTATACTTAACTCTCTCTATCCAAGTCATCTTTGGCCCTTCTTTTAAATTCTCCATTATACATCCTTCCACTTCCTTACCAGATGCAAAGATGTGTGATTAAGTGCATACATGAACATAAGTGCAATCTTTAAATTGTAAGATTTCAAGAATGATCTATACTTAATAGGATGGATAAAGGGACTAGACAATCTAAAGATAATATAGATTTTATAAAACAAAAACCAAAAAAAAAAAAAAAAAAAAAGTATGTACAGTATTTTTTTTATAAAAGTATATTCTTCTACAAAACAAAAAAGGTTTTTTTTTTTTGGGGGGAGGGGGGTTAGAAAATTTCCACCTCTCCCAACTTGTAACATTCCACCTATTTTTTCCCTGATAAAAAATTAAAATGCATCAAATTCAGGGTACATGTGTACTTCCTCTATTCTTTTTTTATTGCAGTGTCTAGAATTTTACACTAGTCACACACACATTTTTATCATCTTTTGTGATTTATATGTTGGAAAAAATATAATCATGTAGGATCTTCTTAGATTTGTCTTGGAATATGCGAAATACTTTCAAAATATCAACTTTTATATATTTTACTAAAGTATAATTTAAGATACAAATGTTATAAGTGCAACGTTGCGATTAATAAAGAACAGAAGAAGCATTAACTTCTTGGACATTATGAATCTGTCATCATAAATTAGTGGGACCTCAATCTTGCGTTTTTGACAGCAAGAGCACACATAAAACCCTATCCACCAAATTTTCTGCTTCCTTTACCACTTACTGTACAAGCATAATCATAGAGAGAGTGCTAGGACCTAGGGAGGACTGAGGAGGGGAGAAAGAGATCCCAAACTTCATCAAAAACCCTTTAACACCAAAATAAAACCTACGCACAATTATGCAAATAACAATAGACCCATCTCGAATATACAGACACCAATGTCAATATTCAAGTCAAAATTTAAACATCCATTATTAATAGGTGGGGTAAAAAAAACCAAGATCATAGGTTGTATCCCTCGATTCTAGCTGCTTACCATTCGGAGAGTAATCCCTCTAAGACTATAATCCATAAGATAATCTTGAATTTAACAACCATAATAAGGGGGTATGGTGGTATACTGGTATGAATGCACCTCTCATCATTAATGCTCCCCTTTACTCTATTTCCCTAATTAAAGTCAATCTCCCCTTAAACCCTCACTTTGGCTGACTAGTAGTTCTTTATTTCCCTCCTCTAAAACTTTTCCTGTTTTCCATACCAATCAAACATCACTTATGTTCATCTAAAATGCAAAAGATTTTCTTTATCCATAGCTAGCTACCTATGAAAATGAAATTTTCAACATTAACAAAGTATGGGAACTAAAGGTCCTCACAAGCATAGATAGCAATGCCGGTCAATATCTTTTGTTTTTGATTTGCATGTCATAATACATTAAGGTACAATGTATTCTAATGGATCAAAAAAATTGAACAAAAGTCCAATATTAAAACATGACAAGGCATCAACAGAGGGGGCATTGAATAAAAAAACAGGGCTTGTGTCAATGAACACCAAATGAGCTAGTTAAAACAGAGTGCCACCTACTGAGATATCTAATTACATTTCATTCTAACACTAAGAGGCTTTCTTCATCATTCTTGTTCTACTTAAATCCCTCTAATGCACACAAAAACGCCTAAATTCTAAGATAAGCAATCATTTCCTAAATTCTGCATAAAGGAATGCTGAAAAGGCTGCCTAAGACATAAATATCAATTAGATGCAACACACACAATAAAACAAGTACAAGAATTACAGTGGTAATAAAGTAAATATCTATCAAATCCCTTTTCCTTCATGTAATCTTAAAGTAGAGCTTACTGGAAAATAGATAAGAACCCCAAAACTTACATATTGCTGCAGAGAAGTGCTCCAAACTGCAACCAAAGCAGCAATAAAACCTTTGGTATTTACACTGACATCAGTAACTGTGCATACACCAACACCTACAAGAACAAGTCCTATGCTGAGCTTCGTATCTCTGGAGTATCGAACTTTATCGAGCACAATCTCCAACAGGCAGGATACAGGAATCATACTCAATTTAGCAATCTGAGAAAAGGTAAAAGTTCCTTCTTAGAAATGGCATAACAGTTACAGAAACTGACAACATCAGCTTTATAAGCAAGACAAAACTAAGAGCAACCAAAATTCACCTGATAAAATCCTACTGAGTTCCACATAAGACTAACATTCATGCCCACAATTGAAAAATTAGCAAATAAAACAAATCTCAGCAGATCTGGCAGTGGCAAATGAGAGGGTTGAATATATCCAAGCCATCTGAGAACGAGTGTCATTATAGTTGTGGCAGTAAAGTGCAATCCCGTCAATGTAGTAGCTGCAACATTAAATGAAAGATTTAATCTTTCAGACTAATGATTAAATCTCAAACATTAAAAAGAAATTTAGCAAGCATGTCATATGAAGTATGTGGAAGATCAAACTTATCTAAAACCTGAAAAATACATTGGAACACATTATAAAATTGTCAGGCGCTAGCCCATAATAAATGCCATACTATTAAGGTCTAAATTCATGCTTTGCAAATTCTGTTCCCAACTTCTCTGCCTTTTCCATCACCAACCCTTTTAAAGGTAAAGTGAAGGACTGAAGGGAGCATGGATAATTCATTACTTTCCATTTTCCTTCTAATGACAGCAACCTTTCAGTCCATAAACAATTAGTAAGACTGATGGATAAGGAATCCAATAGCAAGGGAGCAATGGAGCATGGCGTGGAAGAAGTAAAACATCATAGAGCCTAAAGGGAATATATAAAGTAATTATTCTTAAACATAAATTTGCATAGATAATGTCTGTGTTTAACATGGATAAAGTGTCAAATGGTGACTTCCCTGCAAACTAGTCAAGCATTGTGCAACAAAGTGGATTTTAACCTCATCTGTGATCAATTATGATTTTATTTCCAAGAATTGTACTTATAAATTAATGATACAAGTAATGAGTAATATTGTAGAGCAAAATATTATGCTTAAGGATAGTTACCAAAACTAAACCCATAAGTGGCCATCAGAGCTTTATTGACAATAATAATTCCCACTGATGTGACGACATTGAACATCCAAGCAGATGCATCAACAGCTGCTTTCTTCTCTGCCTTGGAACTTGGAGCCATTTCTTCTTAATTCTTGAACAAAACAAATGCTCAGTCTTTGACTTTAGTTATACGATACACACCATTTCTAGTACAGAAGCAAGTCCTTATGCTTTACCACAACATCTCTGCAAAGAGCAAAATACATATTAAAATTGGAAAGTGGCATATAATATACTACCAATAATAGCATCAGGCATCACCAAACTATTCTTTCTACAATACCAAAAAGCTTAACTACTAGTATACTACTCTTACTATTGGTGTTAGTACTGCTCGTTTACTAGATTTGTCCCTTAAGTTGAATCCAAAGTGGGGGTTGTCAACAGATAAGAACAAATTTAAAGAACTAAAAGGAATAGACAGTGTGTTAGACCTTCTCAATCTAATTTGTTGAAAGACATCAAAAGTTACCCCAATAGAAAAATATAATATAGGTCACCCTTAAATATAAGAAAAAAGGATCTCAGTCTCATAATAATTTACTGTGGAACTGTGCCACACAAAATTCATCAGCTAAAAGTCTACTCCTGGTGCATTAAATGAATGCTACATAACTACATAGAGATACGAATCATTATCTGGAAACTTAATACAATTCCCTAGTTTTTGGTGTCAAAGAAATCCCTTAAAGTAATGATAATGATAGCAAGAGACACAGAAAAGCTGAGCATAACTCTAAAACCTTGACCTCTCCTCAAATCCCTCTACAGAAATAGATACAACAAAGTGGTGATATTACAACTCAACATAAAAACAAAATGCCAAATAAAGGAAAAAAAAAAAGGTAATATTTAAAAAGTATATTTCCGAATTTTATACATTAAAAGTGAATCCAACAACGTTTTAAAGATATGTCACAGTTAAATTAGTTCATTGTTCAAACTAAATTGTTATTTTGTCTCCAAGTAGCTATAAACAGCCAACCAATACAGAAGTCAGGATCCATGTTCAACAGCAATATGTGTATAAAGTAGATGTCCAATATTTAAAAAGGAAATAATTGAAGAATCACAAATGAATGACTAAGTCTAGTGATTACATACCACACTAAAAGTCTTATTTATGTAATTTAATAAAGTTTTACCTTGCACCAACATAATTATCATGTGACAGCAAAGGGTCTATGTTACGAGGTTACCAGTAAGGTGCATCACAACATAGATTGCGTAAAATGAAGATCTAATACATTTCCATGTCGACAGGTTCTCTAAAACCAACTTAGCTAAAAATAACTCTCTCATCAACCATCATTCTAACTCAAGCCTAAAGTAAAATTCCCAAAGCCAGTTAAACTCTACACCTCCCATTAACATACCTAGAAGAGGCCATGGTTGAAAGATAAATGATCAAGTCATCCTAACTAGATTTGACAAGATGTATAAAATTCTCGATATGTATTCAGCAACGATTTTCCTTTAAGAGGCCCATGGCTAAAGCTTTTTTCACCTTTTTTGGTGCGACTAGACACAAAACTAGACAATTGAGTTTCTTTACAGCCCATTGAACAAAAAAGTACTTCGGAAGTTAAGATCCAGATTACATATAACCCAATCCAACTCTTGCCTACACATATAGAAATACAACAATCAAATCTTCATCCACCACTCAAGTAGAAGGATCACCGTATAATTAACATCCCAATACTCCTAGAGTAATGTAAACATCAAAATCAACCATTTTTAAGCCGAGTTGCATCATATAACTCGAAACTTAGTAACCCTATCAATCTACTGAACCTTGATCTTCCAAAAGAGTAAGACAAATGCCCATTAAAAACAAGTTCAAATTTTCCAAATTTTTGCTCCACAAATCCCCAATAACAATTCTCAAACTTACTTCATTAAATCACCAGAAACTTTCCCAGATAAAGTAAATCACCAATTAAAAACTCCAAACAAAAACCGCTCAATTGCACATAATCATCACAATGCACAATCCACATCAAACAAGCTTAAATCTTTGACATTTTTGCACTAAAAATCACTGATACAACTAAAATTACAAACAATAATTCCAAAAAAACAAAAAAAAAACCCAGAAAAAGTAAATCATCAATTAACAAAGCCCAAAACAAAATTCATGATTGCACAATATAATAAATATATCATACAGTTGAACCCAGAAACCAAAAGGAATTGTAAGCAAAAACAAACCTTAAATTTTGTGAAGTGCAAACTGCAATACTCCGTAGTAATTAAGAGTGAACTCTGTAGATCTGTGACAAAGGAATGAAAATCAATCAAGGGAAATGTCGGAAATAATAAATGAATTGATCGAATCAGGGATTTGATTGATCGATCTCGAATTTATAGAATAATTAATCTCTGGAAATTCTGTGTGTAAATTCACAGTTTCACAGAGAGCAATGGAGTAAGAAGGAAAGAGGAGAGAGAAAGTGTAAATAAAGAACGAATGATATTTCGTACGAAGTCGACACTGGTCACTGAGTCTTCTTTTCTTCGCTGGATGGAGGCTTTGGTTGGTTGTACCACTTTTAATACGAGTATATATTAATTTCGTTTTTTTTACTTGACACATTTTTATTTTAACACTATTTATATACTTTTCTACCCTATTTTATACTTTATACATAATAAAAATTATAATCATGTCGGATTTTGTTACATTCGTCATGATATATATTTTCAAAATATCAATTTTTCATAAATTTTCATTATCGATAACTAAAGATATTAATGGTTACATTTGTGCATTGGCAAGATCGGAGGAAGAATACTTTTGGTTTCGTGAATTGAATCTACTGTGGAGTACAAATGTTACCGAGAACTCCAAACTTTTTATTTGCAACAATGTCTCAATACAAAAACTAGTATTCCCCTTGACTGGCGATGACAATAGGTCGGATTTAGAGCGGATTATGCTAAATTCGACTTCGGCCTTAGAGGAAGTTGAGGCTAAATCTGACTCCGACTTCGAGGCTCTAGACTCTGATCCAGAATTTAATATTCGGCCTCGACTCCGATCCGACCCGACTCTAAAAAAAATTCCCTGCTTATTCAATATACTTTGAGAAATTGGGCTATTTGGGTTTTTGCAACCCACACCACTGTCACCACAACCCACACCTAAATCTCCAATCCATCGGAATCAGACATTTATTGAAGTTGGATTTTTTGTAGGATCCGATTGACTCCGACCTTCCTCTGACTCGGAGTCAGATTATAATTACGAAGTCAGACTCGAATCGTTACCTCCGTCCCTTTGGGGTTTTTTTGCTTAATAAATGTTACATTTGGGTTGGCAGCTTTGTACATTTGTCAAGGCAAAACTTTGCCATTAATATGTTTAATTAAATATTTGTAAAAATTTTATGGTAAACTTTTTTATGTAAACATTGTTGTTTAGTGTAAAAATTACCCCAAAGCGTGGACCAATCCCATAGTGACACATGGCCTAATAAATGGCGACACGTGTCACTATAGGAAGATGACATGTATGCAAGCCCTGCAAAGAGCACCTGAAAAAGAGAGAAAAGGGTCTCCTTATATCAGGAGGCCCAAATCCTGAGAAAGCCGCAAAATGGCGCCCCTAGGACACGTGTCCTCTCCTTATTGCGCCGCCAATTAGAGTGCAGAATATTAGGGCAACAACCCTAAAAATGCACAATTCCTCACCCCTATAAATACCCCAAACATTTTATGATAGGGGGTGGATTGTGACATAACATTCAATAGAGCATTAAAAAACTTCAGCTTCTCTCTACTTTCTCTCCCTAGCTTTTCCGATATTCGGTTATTAACTTAAACGTTGGAGGCGGATATTCTAGTAACGGGATATTCGTGTTTTGTAGGTGTCCGGGCCGTCTATCCGAAGAGCGCGCGTGACCAGTGTCCCTAGGGAAATCACAAAAATACATGAAACAGTTGTGAACAACATATTACATGATTAAATCTGTATATTATACATTAGTAAATAAAAATCAAGTTAAAGGTAATACGGAGTATATAAATAGTGTAAATTTTCAAGTGTAGCATTTTTAAATTACGGTGGAGTAAGGGCATGTTTTCTTCAGTTTATGTTCAGTTCAGTTCAATTCAACTCCAATAAGTTCAGTTCAGTTCTTATCTTAATTTCCTTCTCTCATAAAATATTCAGTTCAGTTCAACTCCAATAATTTAGTTCAGTTCAGTTAATCACAACAGACCCTAAAACTTGATTAGTAAAATAAAGGGTATGTGATTAAATGGAGGAGAGAGAAAGTGGGATGATTGATAATTCACCACAACCCACCTTCCCAACACCCAAAACCCTACTAGCCCACCCCACCTACTATTTTTTAGAGGGTTTTGGCAATTAGTCTAAGGTGCACCCTTGTGCACTTAGATAGGTGTAATAACACAGCCCAAAAACCCAATTACACATAACCCAATTAAAAAAAGCCCTAAAACTAGAAAAACATAAAAACTGCAATACACACACCCACACCCAATACACTCACCCACACCCAATAAATGTAACGTCACTTCCAAACTCAAAACTCTTCTTCTTCTATATGATTTTCTCTCTCCTCTTTTTCACTTTCTCTCTCCTCTATTTCATTTTATCTCACTTAAAAAACTGCAAAAACATCAATGGACATTAGAGAAAAGATGCAAAATCAAAATGATCCTCCCTAAAAAAAAGGCAATTTTATGTAAATTTCACTCAATTTTGTTTGAATTTATATCATTATCACTTAATTTTGTTTGAATATTGTTCGATACTCTATTGTTCGAAATTTTTTATTGGAATTGTCAAAAAAAAAAATAGTGAAATCAAACAGGTACCTTATGTTCACATTTTGAAATGCATATGTTCATATTTTGAATTCTTATGTTCATATACTGAATCCTTTTGTAAACTTTCTGAAATGCATATATTCACTTTCTAAATCCATATGTTCATATTTCTTATGTATATGTTCACCTTCTGAAATGCTTAATTATGTTCATACGCATTAAAAAATGGACCATACGCATTAAAAAATGGACCAATGCATATGTTCATATTTTGAATACGTATGATGCATATGTTTCATAATCATATTTATTTTTTATTTCTTTAATTTTTTTTATGTTCATAATTAAATGCCTTATATTCATAATAATATTTTATATGTTCATAATGTAAATATTCATAGTAAATATTTATTGTTCATAAATATACTGATTAAGTCTGTTTATGCATATGTTCTCTTTCTTAATAGCATATGTTCATATTTTTTTACGCATATTTAAAGAACCTATGCATATGTTCATATTTTGCATGATTATGTTCATTGATAAAAAAAATGAAGAAAATAAGATGAAACACATATGAAATTGATCAAAGCTAAAAAAAAAAATCAATTCATATGAAATCAAAAAATCAGATAAAAAACCAATTCCATATTGTAAGGAACAGATTCAATTGTTAAATCAAAACAAAACAAGAAAAATAGAAAAAAAAAACAGAGGTAAAAGGAATTAAAGAAGGAAGGAGAAAAAACAGAGTATAATTTGTGAATTCAAAGATTCATATAAACCTTAATCAATTGAAATTAAAGCACAAAATCGAAGTTCACAAAAAAATTCATACTTAATAACTAATTTCATGTTGTAAGAAACAAATTCAATAAAAAAAAGTGTAAAAAAGGGGAAAAAACAGAGGAGAGAGAAAATAAAAAACGAAGGAGAAAAATAGAGGAGAAGAAAGCAAATTTTCATTTTTTCAAAAGCTAATGTTCATATTGTGCTGTTGTTACACCTATTTCTAGGTGCATGAGTGTGCACCTAAAAATATGTGGGATTTTGGACTGAACCGGACAGAAAATCACAAAATGTAATTTCAAGACCCGAAAATCGTTAGTCGATTCGGTCTGATCCAAGATAGTCCGGTCCGATTTTTCGATCCGAACCGATTTATAAACACCCCTACCAAATAGGTATATAACTTCCCTTTCTTTAAAGTGTCAACTCTTTTGCTCTCTCAGACTCGTAAGTCGTAAGTACTACTGTACTGGTTAATTCTTGGTTGCGGCGAGCTCTAAAGACTTATCAATGGCGACGGAGCTTGAAGAATTGCTGGATTTTTTATCTGCCCCTTCTCCTCCAGTAAGTTTCTCAACCAAAACCTTGTTTTTTCTTTCATTTTTTTTCTTCAATCAAACTTTATTCAACAAACTATCTAGCGAAAATCAATCTATTTTGTATATTTGGATGTACCCTTTTGTTAAATTAATCAGCTACAATCTTCTACAATATAGAATTGTAATAAAATAGTTTTTTTTTTTTTTTTTTTTTTTTTTTTTTTTTTTTTTTTATATCTAAAGGCTGTCAAGAAGTCTTCGGATTTGGCTGTCATGTTATATATATATGTGAGAAAAATCTAGTAGTGAAAAACCCTTTAATTGTTTGCATACTACTATACTAGAATGGTTTGACTCAGGTGCAAGCGAGGTAGCTTAGTTAATTTTTAAGCATATGGGAGTGGTGCCAAGGATTTGGGATCGAATCCTGTCTACATCATTGCCCATGGTGGCTCCATATACACCAATAACCATAAGGTGGAAACCATAGTAGGTTTTGGGGTTTATATAGAAGCAACTAGGCAAGTACTCAGGCCGATGTCGAAAACCTTTCTTATTAAAATATATGGCAGTAAATGAATAAGGGGAGTATTAGGGAGGTTTGAGCAGGTAATTTGAAGCTACATTGGTGTGCAACAGGCTGCAAGGAAATGTTGTAAGAGGCAATAAATCTTGCAAATGTCGAAAGTTTGATCTTTTTGGCACTTGTGTAAAGTACCTCACGAGTCGACAGGCACCTGAGTTTTGATTCAGATACTTTACGCTCTCTTGGGATTGCAAAGCCAACATCAACCAGGATATAATTTTGGGATAGAGGTGGAATTAGCATGAACATATAATTAGTTGTTGAATATGAACAGTTGAACTTGAGCATATAACTTTAACTTGCAATTGAATTTCAAGGAATTATCTTTGGAAACCATTGAGGGGCCTTTAATGTTGCTGTTTTGTTATTAACTTTAAATATGTTCTCAGTGTTTCCAATATTATTTTGTGTGGCTTCTAAGGACCTGTTAAAAAATATGCAGGTGAAAAGGGCCGCTGTGGACATTGTTCGTAGCTTAACTGGGTCTGAAGATGGAATAAAGTCCCTTGCCCAGTATTCCAAAGTGGTTCTGCAAAAACTATCTGACCTTTTGGGGGATCCAAAGGTGAAGTCAACTTCTCCCTTGACTCTAAGACTTCAACCTTTTGATTTAGTCCTCTTGGAACTAAAGCATTCTCGGTTTATTGTGAATAGCTAAAATGGAGAAATGGAAGATAACTCTCAAGTTGCTTAGAAGATTATATTGAAGAATTGACCAAATTCTAAAATCTAGAGCATGAGTCCACTTCTGAAATACTAAATTGTTCATGTTATCCTCTATATAAGGGTATACATGGTCATTGTTAATGATTGTTGAGTTATTTATGGAGGGTTATGAAGACACATAATCA